CTTTGGCTCACTTCCTTACATTAAGAGACAGGCCCAATCAACAGTGACACCAACTGCCAAACATGTGCTTGAGACAATGTCAGTCCCAGGTGAGCCATTAGATGATTACAGACGCATGAATAACTCCAATCAAGACCAGCAAAGGGGCTGGGCGTGGTGGCTCATGCCTGTAATCCCAGCACTTTGGGAGGCTGAGGCAGGTGGATCATTTGAGGTCAGGAGTTGGAGACCAGCCTGGCCAACGTGGTGAAACACTGTCTCTACTAAAAATAAAAAAATTAGCTGGGTGGTGGTGGTGTGCACCTGCAATCCCAGCTACTCAGGAGGATGAGACAGGAGAATTGCTTGAGCCTGGGAAGCAAAGGTTGCAGTGAGTCGAGATTGTGCCACGCCACTCCAGCAGCTTGGATGACACCATGAGAGCCTGTCTAAAAAAAGACCAGCAAAGGAACCAAAAAGCTACCTAGTACTGATTGATATTCACAGAATTGTGAGCCAATTTTACATGGTTGTTACCTTAAAATATTAAATTTGGGAATGTTTTGCTATGCAGCAATAGAAAATGGATGCAAAAATTTTCCAACAAAGAAAACAATTAGATCAACAGCTGATCATAATACTTAAGTATTATTAAATTTTTCTTAAACTTTAGAATTTAAGTTCTAGGCTATCAAGAAGAGTAAACATCAACTAAGTAATTTACATCCTCTTCTAGAGAAAGGACTAGCGTGTGTTTGGCTACATGCAAGATATTTGTTTCATGTTAAGCATAAGTATGACTTTGTTACTGTCTTTATTTGGACATTAATAATGGTTTAAGGAGATGTGTATGGGTGCCAAGTTGACAAAGGGTAGACTTGTGATTGTTAATTTCGTTGGGCCACAGTGTCCAGATTATTTGGTTAAAGGTTATTCTGATGTATCTGTGAGGGGTGTTTTGGATGAGATTTACATTTAAATCAATGGACTCTGAGTACAGCAGATTGCTCTCCATAATGTAGGTGGGCTTCATCCATACAATTGAAGATCTGAATAGCACAAAAGGCTGACCTCCCCCACACAAGAGGGAATTCTCTAGCAGACTACCCTTGAACTTGAACTGCAGTTCCTTCCTGAGTCTCCAGGCTGCTAGCCTACCCCACTGTGAGTCAATTCCTTAAAATAAATCTATATATGACTAATATTTAATGTAATTAGTATATATTTAATATAATTTCAGTAGTAACCCCTTATCTGGGGGGATATGTTACAAGACCCTCAGTAGATGCCTGAAACCACAGATGGTACTGAACCCCATATAAACTATATTTCTTTCCTATACATACATACCTATGATAAAATTTAATTTAGAAATTAGGCACAGTAAGAGATTAACAACAACAACTAACAATAAATTAGAACAATTGTAACAATATGCCACCACTACTCTTGCACTTTGGGCCATTATTAAGTAAAATAAGGGTTACTTGAACACAAGCATTGCAGTATTGCTACAGTTGATCTGATAACCTGGATGGCTAAGTGACCAACGGAGGGATAGTGTCTAGGGCATGGATACATCACACAGAGGACCAAGTCATGTCCTGGACTGGACAGAGCAGGACAGGTGCAAGGTTTCATCATGCTACTTAGAATGGTACAAGAAACTTATGGATTGTTTATTGCTAAATTTTCCATTTAATATTTTCAGACTGTAGTTAGCTATGGGTAGTTGAAACTACAGATAAGGAAAGAATGAAACTATAGATAAGAATATCTAAATCTATAATATAAAATATATTTTTAAAATAATATAAAATATATATAAAATACAATATAGGCCAAGCTTGGTGGCTCACGCCTGTAATCCCAGCACTCTGGGAAGCCGAGGCGGGCAGATCATGAGGTCAGGAGATCAAGACCAGCGTGGTCAACATGATGAAACCCCGCCTCTACTAAAACTACAAAAAAAATATCCAGGCGTGGTGGCATACGCCTGTAGTCCCAACTTCTCTGGAGGCTGAGGCAGGGGGAATAGTTTGAACCTGGGAGGCGGAGGTTGCAGTGAGCCAAGATCGCGCCATTGCACTCCAGCCTGGGCGACAGAGCAAAACTCCGTCTCAAAAAAACAAATAAACAAAAATAAATTTTAAAAATATATAATATAAAATATATAAAATATTATATAAATATAAAAGTATATATATAAAATAAGCCAGATGCAGTGGTGCATGCCTGTAGTCTCAGCGACTTGGAAGGCTGAGACAGGAGTAATGCTTAAGCCCAAGTGTTCGAGGCTCCAGTGGGCTATGATCACACCACTATATTCCAGTGTGAATGACAAGGCAAGACCCTGTCTCTAAAAGATAAAACAAAATTTTTTTTAAAGTAAAATAAGTAACTTAAGCATATCCTAAGGGCGACAGAAATAAAAAAAGGTAAAATAAAATAAAACACACCTAAAACCTATTGATTCTGTTTCCCTGGAGAACCCTAACTAATATAGACAGAAACCAGAAGACAAAGAAATGAGTATTTTCAAAGGGCAAAAAAAAATTTGCCACCAAAAAATATTACTATATCCAGTAAAATTATCTTTTAAGAACCTAAAGGGTAAAAAAAAATTTTTTTATTCTTTTTTTTTTTTTTTTGAGATGAATCTCACTCTGTTGCCCAGGCTGGAGTGCAGTGGCGAGATCTCATTTCACTGCAACCTCCATCTCCTGGGTTCAAGCAATTCTCTTGCCTCAGTCTCCTAGGTAGCTGGGAATACAGGCACTCACAACCATGCCTGGCTAACTTGCGTATATTTAGTAGAGACAGGGTTTCACTATGCTGGCCAGGCTGGTCTTAAACCCCTGACCTCAAGTGACCCACCAGCCTCTGCCTCCCAAAGTGCTGGGATTACAGGCACAAGCCACCACACCCAGCCCCTAAAGGCAAGATTTAAAAACCTTCAGACCAAGAAAACTCAAGAGAATTCACTACCAGCAAAAACTATACCAAGAACTTTAAGTATGTTCTTCAAACAGAAAGTAAATCTCAAAAAGGTTAAAAAAGCAGTGATGAAAAATGTAAGTGGTAATATGTAGATAGATCTAAATGAATAGTTACAATATAAAACAATAATGTCTTATGGATTTTAAAACACATGATTAGAATACACGTATTATATATATAAGTGGAACTGATATAAGAAGTTAAAAGTGTTCCAAGATCTTTGTATTGTCTAAGAAGAATAAATGTACTAATGTATCAATTAATGTGATATATGTAAGCTATGTGTTGTAACCTGTAGGTTAACTACTAAAAGAACAGGGTCTACAACTTGACAAGAGAGGAAAAAGCTAGAATAGTAAAAAAGTCTATCAATCCAAAAAGCAAGAAAAAAGAGAAAAAGGAACATGCTGGTATATTATTACAATTATTGTACTTTATTATTAGTTATTGTTAATTTTTTACTGTGCCTAATTTATAAACTTTATCACAGCTATGTATGTATAGGGAAATATATATCTGGTTTTAGGCATCAACTGGGGGTCTTGAAACATAATCCCTCCCCCAGATATGGAGGTACTATTGCAATTATATGTCATATTAAGTACATATTAATTCTACTAGGTAGTAGCCATATTATATATTAATTATATTAAATACATATCATATAGATTTATTTTAAGGAACTGACTCGTATTAGAAGAGACTGGCAGCTGGAGATTCAGGAAGAGGTTGCAATTCAAGTCCAAAGGCAGACTGCCAGAGAATTTCTTCTTGCTTGGGAGAGGTCGGCCTTTTGCTTTATTCAAATCTTTGAGGAATATAGAAGGCAAAGGTATACTAACTATATCAAACAAGCTAAATGCTCCAATTAAAATACAAAAATTATAAAACATAATAAAAAAAACTAAATTATGTGCTATTTAAAAGAGACATTTTTAAGCTTAAGGATACAGAAAAGTTGAAAATAAAAGAATGGAATAAAATAAGCCACGAAAATACCAGTGTAACACTGATGCCAAAATCTGACAAAGCACACACACAAAAGAAAATAACTTTAACTGCAAAATCTTAAAATCCTAGCAGAGAAAGCAGAATATGTTATATTATACCACAACATGATGAAGGCTTACTTCAAAAATTTAAACATGGTACATCATTAAGAAACATTAATAAAAATCCTCACAAAAAATCATTCAAAATATGAAAAGCCGTATGATAAGCCTGATTAATGCTGGTTTACAGAACTGATTTTCTAGAAATCAGATTTATAAAACTAGTTTTCTTTAAAAAGGCAATCACTGGGGAAATAACCCATTAACTCAGTATTTACTATGTGGTAGGCCCTGTTCCTTCTACTAGAAATAGTGAATGAATTCTAACTGAATCCCTATCTTCATGAAGTTTTACAGTCTAGTAGCAGAAAACTGGCATTAAATACATCAACACACAGACAAATATGAGAAGTGATAGAAAAGAGAATTATAGGGCTCTAAAAGCCTACAGAAGAAGAAAATTTGACCTAGCCAGGGAGCTCAGCCAATGCCTCCCTGAGGCACTGACTCCTGAGCTGACAAGTGAAAGATGAACAGGAATCAGGAAGGCATTAAGGGAGGCAGGGAACTCCATGCTAGTCAGTAACTTCAGAAAGGGTGGGAATAGGGTCTAAAAAAAGCCTCTGTGGCTGAAGCATAAAGAGCAAGGGGGAGCAGCTGCCAGGAAGCTGGAGATATATACAGGGTAGGGCCACACAGGGTGACTTTCCTTTGTCCCATAAGCATTAAGAAGCCTTTGAAGAACAGAAGCATGACAGTGAACTACCTGCCCTACATTTTGGAACGAACATTTTATTTAGCTGGGTGTAGAGAACATAGCACTGGATATGCGCAGTTCAATTAGAAGTTACTGGTGGAGATGCAAGAGTATTACAAGTAAGGAGATATTCAGGAGGTAAACTGCACAGGGCTTAATAATAGATTTGTTCTTGGGGTGACAGGGAGTATTGAATGCTACTCCTCTTTGGTTTCTGATTTACCTAACAGATGCCATCCAGTGAGTCAGATAACAGAGGAAAAGAGGCCGAGCGCGGTGACTCATGCCTGTAATCCCAGCACTTTGGGAGCCTGAGGCGGATCACCTGAGGTCAGGAGTTTGAGACCAGCCTAGCGAACATGGTGAAACCCCGTCTCTACTAAAAATACAAAAATTAGCCAGGCATGGTGGCGGGCACCTATAATCCCAGCTACTTTGGAAGCTGAGGTAGGAGAAATGCTTGAACCCAGGGGGCAGAGGTTGAAGTTAGCTGAGATCGTGCCACTGTACTCCAGCCTGGGTGACAAAGCAAGACCCTGTCTAAAAACAAACAAACCAGAAACAAAAGAATTTTTCACCAGAGAAAATTATGAATCTCGAAATAATGGACAACAACATACAGAAAAGCCAAACATTAAAATCAGTATCATTAAAGCAGGTCAAGAAAGGGATGCTGGCAATCACCTTTAAGATTTACTAATCATTTGGAACAAGGGCTGGCAATTAGTCTCTGCTCCAACTACTCAACTCTGCCGTCGTATCATGAAGGCAGCCATAGACAACATATAAACAAATGAATATGGCATATTCTAATAAAATGTTGAAATTTGAATTTCATATAATTTCTTTCTTCTCTCTCTCTCTCTCTCTCTCTCTCTGAGGCAGGAGGATCCCTTAAGCCCAGGAGGTCAAGGCCGAAGTGAGCTGTGTTTACACCAGTGCACTCTGGCCTGGGTGACAAAGTGAGAACTGTCTCCAAAAAAAAAAAGAAAACTCATTCTGAGCTTGTCCGCCATACCAAAACAGGCAGTGAGCTGGATATGGGAGACAGACAATAGTTTGACAACCCTGTTGAAAAAGTAGATAATTGGATAAGAAAACAGGTATAGGTATATGTGCCTGTAGTCCCAGTTACTTGGAAGGCTGAGGGCAGTCCAGTTAGAAGTTACTGGTGGAGATGCAAAAGTGTTACAAGTAAGGAGATATTCAGGAGGTATGAAAACATATTAGTATATGCCAAAGCACAGGAGTTCAAGTCCAGCCTAGGCAATACAGTGAGACCTCATCTCTTTTTCAAAAAAAAAAGAAAACAAGATATAATTATTGAAGGAAAAATCCCCAAACTGTTATTTGTATTTGAAAGACTGTGTACATAGGTTAAAAAAAAAAAAAAAAAACTATTGGAACTAAATATAAAGTTCATAATTTAAAACTGCAGCAGGAGGCCGGGCGCAGTGGCTCACACCTGTAATCCCAACACTTTGGGAGGCTGAGGCAGGTGGATCACAAGGTCAGGAGTTCGAGATCAGCCTGACCAAGATGGTGAAACCCTGTCTCTACTAAAAATGTAAAAAATTAGCCAGGCATGGTGGCACACGCCTGTAATCCCAGCTATTCGGGAGGCTGAGGTGGGGAACTGCTTAAACTCAGGAGGCAGACATTGCAATGAGCTGAGATCAGGCCACTGCACTCCAGCCTGGGTGATGGAGTGAGACTCCATCTCAAAACAAACAAACAAACAAAAAAACCCACAAACTGCAGCAGCAATTTAGAGTTCAGGAAAAGATGGAATAGGCATATTCCATCCTATTCCTCCCTGGGTTCAAATGATTTTCCTGTCTCAGCCTCTGGAGTAGCAGGGATTACAGGCGCCCATCACCACACCCAGCTAATTTTTTTTTTTTTTTTTTTTGAGATGGAGTCTCGCTCTGTCCCCAGGCTGGAGTGCAGTGGCATAATCTCGGCTCACTGCAACCTCCGCCTCTCGGGTTCAAGCGATTCTCCTGCCTCAGCCTCCCGAGTAGCTGGGACTACAGGTATATGCCACCATGCCTGGCTAATTTTTGTATTTTTAGTAGAGATGGAGTTTCACCATATTGGCCAGGCTGGTCTCAAACTCCTGACCTCAGGTGATCTGCCCACCTCGGCCTCCCAAAGTGCTGAGAATATAGGCATAAACCACCGCACCTGACCCCTTCCACTGATTATAACCAAACATTCTAGATAAAATTCATGACTCAAGTGACAGAAATATTCTGAAAAGTAAAAAAAGAAGGTAGACTGACTAGGGACCAGGGGACATGAGGACTGACACAACAGGAAGCTCCCTATTTTTTTATTTGGTTTAACTTCTAATATGTCCTAGCCCAGGCTCTGGAGTCACAGCCTAAAAGGACCAATGAGCACAGACAAGAAATTGCCAAGAAAAGCCTGCCCTCTCTAGGTCAAGAACTGGGAAAGGTGCAGCTCAGCAGAACAAAAACATTTTGACCATGCCTATCCCAGTCCAGGCAAACTAAAAAAGGGGAGGGGGTACCCCTTCTTTTCCTTACCAGACACTGTGGCCCAGAAATTGTGACTAGCATTCTGCCTTCCGATACAACTCTGCCATAATGAGGTGGCACAACTGTTCCCTCTTCTCCATGTTACAGCTGCAGAGAATGTGGGTGAAGTCATCTTTCTCTATCCTGGAAGAACCAGATGGAGTCCTAACCCCAGCAAAACTACAGAATTGGAAAGGATTATGGTGAGGAGAGAGCTAGAGAAATGAATTCTCTAAATCTGTGTATGATATCCTAAACGTGCTTCTGAGTAACCCATGTGTAAAAATGACTAGAAACAACACAGCAAAAGGCATAAGAACTAAACACTGCTCTGGAATAACACCTAAATTTCAGACTGGCCTCTCGGTAGCACAGACCAGAACAGCACAGCAAGACTGAAAACTGAACCACAGCCAACAAAAGTGGGCGAGGGTATGTGTTCTAAACCTAAACAGGTTGACCACCTGTTAAATATAAAAATTTAGACAGGAACCAGAATCTCATAGCATAATATTCCAAGTGCCAGGATGCCATCCAAAATTACTCATTATATCAGGAACATGACAATCTCAACTTGAATGAAAAAAGGCAATCAACAGATGACAATACCAAGATGATACAGATGTGTATCATGAAACTGCTCAAACAAGACATTATAAACACTCAGCATATATAAGATATAAGGAGTACCAAATGAAATTTTTAAAAATAAAAAATAAAATTTCCGAAATGAAAAAGACCCACTGGATGGGCTCAATAGCAGAACAGAAATGACAAAGGAAACAATCAGTTAAGCTAAAAACAAGTGAATGGAAATCATCCAGTCTGTACAAGAGAGAAAGTAGACTGAAAAGAAATGAACACAGTTTCAAGGTCCTGTGGGATAATAACAAAAATCTAACATCTGTGTTATCAATGTCCCAAGAGTAAGGGCAGAATGGAGAAATTGTTTTTTTAAATTGAAGACATAATGGCTAAAAACTATCTATCGGCTGGGAGCCATGGCTCACGCCTGTAATCCCAGCACTTTGGGAGGTCAAGACAGGTGGATCACCTGAGGTCAGGAGTTCAAGACCAGCCTGGCCAACATGGTGAAACCCCCTCTCTACTAAAAATACAAAAAATGAGCCAGGCATGGTGGCGGGTGCCTGTAATCCCAGCTACTAGGGAGGCTGCGGCAGGAGAATTGCTTGAACCTAGGGGGCAAAGGTTGTAATGAACCAAGATTGCACCACTGCACTCCACTCTGGGTGATATGGCAAGGCTCTGTCTCAAACAAAACAAAACAATTCTATCTATCTATCTATCTATCTATCAATCAATCAATCAATCAATCAACTATCTATCTGTCTGTTTTAGAGGTGGGTCTCACTATGTTGTCCAGGCTGGTCTCAAACTCCTGGGCTCATGCAATCCTCCTGCCTTGGCCTCTCAAAGTGCTGGGATTATGGGCATGAGCCACCACACTTGGCCTCAAATTTAGATATAAACTTACAGATTCAAACTTCTAAAAACTAAAGAAAAGTACTGAAAGCAGCTAGAGAGAAACAACATTACTTACAGGAGAATAACAATTTGAAAGACAATAGATTTTTCATCAGGAACCATGGAAACCACAAGGATGGATACAATATTTTTCAAATGCTGAAAGAAAATAACTATCAAGTCAAAATTCTATAGACAGTGAATATATCCTTCAGAAATAAAAATGAAATAAAAATACATATACACGTACATACACTAATTAAGCAATTCTTCTCTTCTTGAGTTTTAAAAATTACGGCCGGGCACAGTGGCTCACTCCTGTAATCCCAGCATTTTGGGAGGCTGAAGCGGGCAGATTACCTGAGGTTGCGAGTTTGACCAACATGGAGAAATCTTGTCTCTGCTAAAAACAGAAAATTAGCTGGGCATGGTGGCTCATGCCTGTAATCCCAGCTACTTGGGAGGCTGAGGCAGGAGAATCGCTTGAACCTGGGAGGTGGAGGTTGCGGTGAGCCGGGATTGCACCATTGCACTCCTGCAACAGGATCGAAACTCCGTCTCAAAAAAAATTATGTTTGATGATTTAAAGTAAAAATTTCAGCAGTGCCTGATGTGGTTCTCATTGTATGTAGAGGTAATATTTAAGACAACTGTACCATAAAGAAGGAAGGCAGAAGGAACTAAAAGGTGGTAAAGTTTCTACATTCTACTTAAGGTGGTAAAGTTGATATTAACAGACTGTAAAAAAGCAATCACACAAAAAACTTTATAAAGAGATACACTCAAAATGAAGTACTAAAAAATGTTCAAGGAACCCACAGTAAAACAGGAAAGGGAAAACAGAAGAAGAAAATAACCAATGAAACAAAAATGCCAAATTTAAATCCAAAAGTATCAATAATTATATTCAATGTAATGGTTTATACATGCCAACTAAAAGAAATAAATATAATTGATTCTTTCAAAAAAGAACCTAACTAGGCCAGGTGTGATGGTTTATGCCTGTAATCCCAGCACTTTGGGAGGCCAAGGCAGGTGGATCACTTGAGCCCAGGAGTTCGAGACCAGCCTGGGCAACATGGCAAAATCCTGTCTCTACCAAAAAACCCCAAAACAAAACAAAAATTAGCCAGGTGTGATGGCATGAATCTGTAATCCCAGCTACTCAGGAGGCTAAGGTGGAGGACTGATTGAACCTAGGAGATTGGGTGACAAAAGTGAGACCCCATCTCAAAAAAAAAAGACCTAGGCCAGGCATGGTGGCTCATGCCTATACTACCAACATTTTGGGAGGCTGAGGCAGGCATATTGGTTGAGCCCAGTAGTTCAAGATGAGCCTGGGCAACATAGCGAGACCCTGTCTCCACTTTAAAAAAAAAGATCCAACTATATGCTATCTATAATAAACTACTTCAAATACAGTTATGTGTCACCTAGTAAGGATACATTCTAAGAAATGCACCATTATACAATAAGGTGAGAAGGTACAGCCATTATGAAAAACATATGTGGAGGGTCCTCAAAAAATTAAAAATAAGGCTGGGTTCAGTGGATCATTCCTGTAATCCCAGCATTTTGGGAGGCCAAGACAGGAAGACTGCTTGAAGCCAGGAGTTTGAGACCAGCCTGGTCAATTTTGTGAGATCCTGTATTTATGAACAATTTTTATTTTTTTTGAATTTTTTTTGAGACGGATTTTTATTCTTGTTGCCCAGGCTGTAGGGTAATGCCGTGATCTTGGCTCACTGCAACCTCTGCCTCCCGGGTTCAAGTCATTCTCCTGCTTCAGCCTCCCAAGTAGCTGGGATTACAGGCATGCGCCACCACGCCTGGATTTTTTTTTTTTTTTTTGTATTTTTAGTAGAAACGGTGTTTCACCATGTCATTCAAGCTGGTCTTGAACTCCTGACTTTGGGTGATCCACCCACCTCAGCCTTCCAAAGTGTTGGGATTACAGGTGTGAGCCACCACACCTGGCCTCTACAAACAATTTTTTTAAATTAGCTGAGTGTAGAAGCATGTGCCTGTAATGGGGAAGCTGAGGGAGTTTGAGACCAGCCTGACTAGCATGGTGAAAACCTAACTCTACTAAAAATACAAAAATTAGCTGGTGTGGTGGCACACTCCTGTAATCCCAGCTACTCGGGAGGCTGAGGCAGAAGAATCACTTGAACGCAGGAGACAGAGGTTGTGGTGAGCTGAGATTGAGCCTTGCACTCCAGCCTGGGCAACAAGAGCAAAACTCAGTCTTAAAAAAACCCAGATATACGAAGACAAATATCGCACGATCCCGCTTACATGTGGAGGGTAAAAAGTTGAACTCATAGAAATAGAGAGTAAAATGGTGGTTACCAGAGGTTGGTAGGTAGGGGAATTGGGGAAATACTGGACAAAGAACACAAAATTCAGTTAGGAGGAACAAGTTCAAGAGATCAATTGTACATCATGGTGACTACAGTTAATAACAATACATTGTATGTATTTTTAAAAAGGATATTAATATGTCATTTTTATTGCACAAAGTAGCATTACAAAAAAGGATTTCAAAGGCACACAGCTCTTTCATTGCAGCCTTAAGGGGTGACGTCTGATCACTGAAAACAGGCTGCTGTGTTCCAATTTTCTCTGTTATTTGGCATTATCCTGAATACATATGCTCTGATCTGGAAAGAATCAGTCTGTAAAGATTTAATAGATTTGAGATTTGCATATTTAAAATATATGTCTTGTGACTAAAATTAAATGAAGCGTACTTATTTATTTTGGAGATGGAGTCTCCCTTAGCTGCCCAGGCTGGAGTGCAGTGGCGTGACCTCGGCTCATTGCAACCGCTGTCTACCAGGTTCAAGTGATTCACCCGTCTCAGTCTCCTGAGTAGCTGGGATTACAGGCACCCACCATCATGCCTGGCTGGTTTTTGTATTTTAGTAGAGTCAGGGTTTCACCATGTTGGCCAGGCTGGTCTTCAACTCCTGACCTCTGGTGATCCTCCTGCCTCAGCCTCCCAAAGTGCTAGGATTACAGGTGTGAGCCATGGTGCCCAGACTGTTTTTTTTTTTTCTTTTTTGAGACAGGGTCTCATTCTGTCATCCGTGCTGGAGTGCAGTGGAGCAATCTCGGCTCACTGCAACCTCCGCCTCCTGGACTCAAACGATCCTCCCACCTCAGCCTCTACAGTAACTGGGACTACAGGCATGTACCATACCTGGCTAATTTTTTCTTTTCTTTTCTTTTCTTTTTTTGAGGAGTTTCACTCTTGTAGTCCAGGCTGGAGTGCAATGGCACTATCTTGGCTCAATGTAACCTCCAACTCCCAGGTTCAAGCAATTTGCCTTCTCAGCCTCCCAAGTATCTGGAACTATAGGTGATTGCCACTATGCCCAGCTAATTTTTTGTATTTTTAGTAGAGATGGAGTTTCACCCTGTTGGCCAGGGTGAAACTGGCTGGTCCTGAACTCCTAACCTCAGATGATCTGCCCACCTTGGCCTACCAAAGTGCTAGGATTACAGGTGTGAGCCATCACGCCCACCTAAAAACCGTTTTAATATGCATGTCTATATATACACAGATATTTCAGGCACATCTCAGCATATTTTTGATTTTTTTTATTATTATGGGTACATAATGGGTATATACATTTAAAAGCTATATGTGATGCTTTGATACAAACTTACAATGTATAATAACAACATCAGCGTAAATAGGGTATCCATCACTTCAAGCATTTATTTAGGGGCATTCCAATTCCACTCTTTTACTTATTTTAAGACATACAATAAGTTGTTGCTGACTATATAATTCGATAGCACTGTTGTGCTACCAAATACTAGATCATATTCATTCTATCTAACTATATTTTGTATCCATTAAACATCCCATTTCCCCTGCTCTACTTCCCAAACTCTGGTAACCATCATTTTACTTTCTATCTCCATGAGTTCAGTTATTTTAATTTTTAGCCCCCACATGTAAGAAATAAAGAATATAGTTTATTTGGAAATTACTGAGAGTAGATTATGTGTTCTCACCACGAAAATATAATATGTAAAGTAATGCATATGTTAATTAGTTTGATTTAGCCATTCCACAATATACACATATATAAAAATATCACATTGTATATTATATACATATGTAACTTTTACTTGTCAATTAAAATAAATTTTAAAATAATTTAAAAATAAAGTATATTTAACTGTAAATGTAATAGTAATAAAGCAATAAAATCCCATTAAAAATGAACAAAAGAGGAGAGGCAGGTGGGTGTTCAAAAAAATTAAAAAAATAAAAAATAAAATAAAAAGAAAAATAAATTAAAAAGAAAAATAAATTAAAAAGAAAAATCAACAAAAGATGGCCGGGTGCCATGGCTCATGCCTGTAATCCCAGCACTTTGGGAGGCCAAGGCGGGTGGATCACGAGGTCAGGAGTTCGGGACCAGCCTAACTAACATGGTGAAACCCTATTTCTACTAAAAATACAAAAATTAGCCAGGCATGGTGGTGTGTGCCTGTAATCCCAACTACTTAGGAGGCTGAGGCAGGAGAATCGCTTGAACCCTGGGAAGCAGAGAGCCGAGATCGTGCCACTGCACTCTAGCCTAGGCAAGAAAGCAAGAATCCATCTCAAACAAACAAACATGAACAAAAGACACAAAGAAACATTTCACTGAAGAGCTTATATATATGGCAAATAAGCACATGAAAAAGTGTTTTAACTCCAGCCTGGCCAACATGACCAAACCCTGTCTCTACCAAAAATACAAAAAAAAAAAAAAAATTAATTGGATGTGGTGGCACATGCCTGCAGTGAGCTGAGATTGCATCACTGCACTCCAGCCTGGGTGACACAGCGAGACTGTCTCAAAGAAAAAAAAAAGAAAAGAAAAAGAAAAAGATTTAACATCTTTAGACATCAGGAGATGCAAATTAAAGCCATGATGAGATACTACTATACAAATATCAGAATGACTAAAATTGTAAAATGGTGACAATGTCAAATTCTCATGAGGATCCAGAGAAACTGCATCTCTCCTACAATGTTAGTGGTAATGGCAAATACTACAGGCACTTTGGAAAACAGTTTTGGCATTTTCTTTTAAAAATTAAATTACACTTAATCAATGACAAAAACAAATGGCACTTCTGGGCATTTATCTTAAGAGAAATAAAAATGCATGTCCATACAATAAATGTGTACATGTTCATAGTAGTCTTTTTGTAATAGCTCCAAACTAGAAACAACATAAATATCCTTCCCAATTGGATGGATAAACTGGTACATTAACACAATAAAATATTACTGAGTCATAAAAAAGAACAAACTACACAATTTACGAACAAAAACTTGGATGGTTCTGATATACACAAAAACTCGGATGGTTCTCAAAGGCATTATGCTGAGTGACAAAGCTAATCTCAAAAGGGCATATACTGAATGATTCCATTTCTATAACACTCTTTTTTTGTTGTTGTTTTTTGAGATGGAGTCTCACTCTGTCGCCCAGGCTGGAGTACAGTGGCATGATCTTAGCTCACTGCAACCTCTGCCTCTCGGGTTAAAGTGATTCTCCTGCCTTAGCCTCCCGAACAGCTGGGACTACAGGCACCCGCCACCACGTCTGGCTAATTTTTCTCTTTAGTAGATGTGGGGTTTCACCATGTTGGCCAGGCTGGTCTGAAAGTCCTGGCCTCAAATGATCCACCCACCTCCGCCTCCCAAAGTGCTGGGATTACAGGCGTGAGCCACTGCATCCAGACTCTAAAACATTCTTGAAATGACAAAATTACAGTGATGGAGAATAGATCCCAGCAGTTTGGGAGGCCGAGGCAGGTGGATCACAAGGTCAGGAGTTCAAGACCAACTGGCCAACATGGTGAAACCCCGTCTCTACTAAAAATACAAAAATCAGCTAGGCATGATGGCAGGCACCTGTAATTCCAGCTACTTGGGAGGCTGAGGCAGGAGAATCACTTGAAAACGGGAGGTGGAAGTTGCAGTGAGCTGAGATTGCGCCACTGTACTCTAGCCTGGGTGAAAGAGCGAACTCCATCTCAAAAAAAAAAGCTCACATGTACAAATAGGTGAGTACAGTCTAGGCATTATTTAAAACAAATAATGAAGAAGTATTTGCACTGTAAGATTATATTAACACAGTAATATTCATTAAAACTTTGTGGCATTGGTACAGATACAGACTTATAAACAAGAAGTCGGTATACATAGTATTGAGAATATGATAAAAATACTTGGTAGCCTTGTAATCCCAGTACTTTGGGAAGATGAGGTGGGCAGATCGTTTGAGCCCAGGAGTTTGAGACCAGACTGAGCAACATGATAAAAGCTCATATCTACAAAAAAATGCAAAAATTAGCTTGGTGTGGTGGCGAGCCTGTAGTCCCAGCTACTTGACAGACTGAGGTGGGAGAATGACCTGAACCTGGGGAGGTAGAGGCGGCAGTGAGCTGTGATTATGCCACCGCACTCCAGCCTGGACAAAATCATTTAGGAGTCAGTTGAAAATTCTAATAGATTATTTAGTAAACAGTATTAGAAACTGCTGAACTATTCAGGAAAAAGTAAACTAGCTCTTTATTTCATGCAATATTCCAAAAGCGAATTCCAAATGGTTTAAAGTTTTAAGTATATAAATTACAATAAATAATACAATAGCATGTAAATAAGTACAAATAAACTATAAAACAGTTTGAAGAAAACGTCTGAAAATATTTTTCTGTTGTCAGGGTGAGGTAGCCTTCCTAAATACTAAAGAGAATTATTCATAGTTTCTAATACATAAGATATTTCAACTCCTGTGTGTCAACAAAACATCATAAACTGAAAATAAATCAAACTAAGAAAGAAAATGTTTAAATGAAAAAAACTACAACAGGCTGGCCGTGGTGGCTGTGTCTGCAGTCTCAGCACTTTGGGAGGTCAAGACAGGCAATCACTTGAGGTCAGGTTTCCAGACCACCCTAGCTAACATGGTGAAGCCCTATCTCTACTAAAATTATAAAAATTAGCTGGGTGTGGTGGTGTCCTCCTGTAATCCCAGCTACTCAGGAGGCTGAGATACAAGAATCACTTGAACCCAGGAGGCAGAGGTTGCAGTGAGCAGAGATGATGCTACTGCATTCCAGCTTGGGTGACAGAGTGATGCTATGTCTCAAAAAACAAAAAACAAACTAGACAAAAAACTTGCAAAATGTTACAGACAAAGGGTTAAATAACCTTATTAAATGAGATATTTACAAATTAGTAAGTACAAACAGAGCCATGGAAGGATGGATAAAAGCTATGAATAGGCAATTCATAAAAAGTAAAATAATGATAAACAAATGAAAATATTCATCTTTACTAACAATCAAGAAAAGCAAATTAAAGCAACTTGGTACTTTTCTTACCTCTCAAATAGGCATATGTTTATAAAAGTGCTAAAATTTAAATGTTCATAAGCTATGGGGAAAGAAACCTCAAAGTGTACTGCTATAATTGTAATCTCTCTGACATTTATCTAATCTGCTCATTTGGGACTTAGTCTATGATGCCATGTGCCATATGCTAAATTTGCTTTTTACACCCAATAAAACCAGAAACCTCGGGGTAGCACTTTTCTTACTTTTTTGTTTTTCCAACATTAAAATAAAAACCAACATGTAATAGGCATCCAATATTGTTAATGATGTTAGTGAAAATTATAAAACCTCTGAACCAGAGAAGAGTGAAGAGAAGTACACCTCCAACCTACAACTCCCTAATCTACAGAAAGTGCCATCCTGATTCCTGGATTATCCTCACCATCTGGTTCCACCATTCCTATCTCAGGCTGCCAACTACTGCTTAGGAGTGTCACACTCCTCAGTGCTGTGGAGAAAACATCCTTCCTTTGTCAGTTTCCTGTATCAGTTTCTAGCACAGTAGCCGAAGCTCCCTTTGAGCAGATGCCTTTAGAGACAAAAGGACATGACCTCTCTCTCCTCTATAAATTCTCTATTCTCCCTTTTTAGACTAGATGAAAAGATTCCCTCATCGTTTTTAAGGCTGCTGCCCATGTTATGTTCTTGATGCCATTTGAGATCTTTCCCCTAAAATTATGCATTTCCTTCTGGTACTTTCAATTTTTCCCTCTCTAGCCCTCATATCCCTTTGTTTACAAATAGACATCGATGTTCTAAACAGATTTCTTAAAATATAAACAAAAATCACCTTCCTATTTAGCCATACAAGCTTCTCTTTTCCCTTTCCTCATTACCGCCAAACCTGTGTAAGATGTACTTGGCTTTCACTTCCTCACTTTCTACCTCTCCTTAACGACGTCATTATGTTCTTAATTCCTTCATTCTCCCTTAACAACCTCATTATGTTCTTAATTCCCTCATTCTCAAATCTACAAATAACCTCCTGATTAAATCTAATTCTTGCCCTCAGTTTTCATTCTCCTTGACTTGCATTTGACATGTTACGGTTAACTTATTTCTCAAAAGCTTCTCTGTTTTCTGGTTCTCTTGATACAATGACTACTCAATTTTAGCTCCAAAAAAGCTTTTCTTCTTCTACCATTCACACATCAAAATTTTATTTGGGTCCTATTAAGGGTCTGCATTGAGTTAAATGTTAGGGGATGCAAGGAGAAAAAGACAAAGTTCTTATTCTCAAGTTGATGCGTTCATTCTCCAGGTCAGTCAGTCAGATGACTACATGATGGCCTTTAAAAAGCAACGACCATTAGCTGCACATGGTGGCGCATGCCTGTAGTCCCAGCAACTCAGGAGGCCTGAGGCAGGAGGTTCATTTGAGCCCAGGAGTTTGAGGCTGCCGTGAGCTATGATTATGCCATGGTCCTGGCATACATGATCCTGCCTAGGTAACAGAGGGAGACCCTGTCTCTTAAAAATAAAAAATAAAAAACCAAGACTAGTCCCTGCCTTCATTGAGTTAACAGCAAAAGCAATAGGTAAGCCATGCTACCTTTGTTCCAGGTGCCATGACAAAGCAGTCAAATCCATTTGTTTCAGGGGCTAGGGAAGAAGTAACTACAGTACTGGCTCCCTAATCCTTTCTCCCACACAAAGGCTCATCCATACTCAGGATGGGTTTTGATTATCACCTCCATTATCTCACTTCTGAACATACATCACCATTCTCCAAGTGTTGGCTGAGATGTCTATCACCTTACACTGTAAACCAAATTAATCACCTCCCCTTTTAAACCCAATTTATTCTCTAGATATCCTTATTTCTCTTAAGGATTCCACCACTGTCTCAGACTCTGCAGTGCCAATTTACATACTATTTTTTTCGAAATGTCTCTTTTCCCAGGTTCTCTCTGGTCTTTCTACTTGCATAACCACCAACTCATTTCATGCCTCTATCACCTCACACCCAGTGTTATATCCAAACTAGGCTAAATCATCTGATTCACAGGGGGAAAGAGGGAGCTTTTAAAAATCAGTCCTGGGTCTCCAGTCTGAAGATTTGGGTTTGGGGTATCTTGAGTGGGAGCCCCAGAATCCTGGTTTTCCGTAACACTGATCTGGTCCAGGCCTTCTACTGACTCCCAGTGAAGCTAACATCCCTCAAATACTATCCCCCCCAAGATTCTTCTTAAAGTGTTACATTCATCCTGCTCAAAAGTTTTCAATGGTTTCCCACTGAATAAACCATAGATTTGAAAATATCTGAGTTGATATATAAGAAATGCTTCACAGTTTGGCCTCTGTTATGGGTTGAACTAAGTCTCCCCAAAAAAGATATGCTGAGGTCCTAATCCCCAGTACCACAGGATGTGACCTTATTTGGAAACAGGGTTGTTGAAGATGTAATTAGTTAAATAAAGATGAGGTCATTCCGGAGTATTGTGGACCCCTAATCCAATATGACCGGTGTCCTTATAAGATAACGATCATGTGAAAACAGACCCAGGGGAAATGCCATTTGAAGACACAGGATTTGAGTGATCACTTACAATCAAATAACACATGGGGCTCTTAGAAGCTAGAAGAGATCCATGGAACAGATTTCTCCCACAGAAGGAACCAACATTGCCAACACCTTGACCCTGGGCCTCCAGAACTGTGAGACAATACATTTCTGCTGCCTTTAGCCACCAGTTTATGGTACTTTGTTAGGGCGGCACTAGGAAATTAATACGGGTTCCCAAACTATACTTGCAACCTCGTCTTTCACTGTTGAACTCACTCTCTGTTAAAGTCAAACTGGTGTAAAATTCTTACACTGTTGAGCTTTTCTTTCATAAGCACTCCACTTCTGAAATCCTTTCTTCACCTACCACAAAATCATACATACATTAGTAACCAGCTCGTATTGTACTTTGTCTTGATGTTTCCCATCCATCCTGCTCTTCTCAATAATGGCACTACATGCACAATACAACTACATGCACAATAATTACCAAATTCTACGATGTACCAAGCCTTCTTAAATGTCTGTATTCATTTGGTAGGGCTGCCATAAAAGTGTCACAGACTGGCCAGGCAACGTGGCTCACACCTGTAATCCCAGCACTTTGGGAGGCCAAG